AGCGATGGTGCAGGAACAGACTTACGGCAGTAAATGTTTACGTGCAATGACTGATCACAACGGGAAACACACACGGTCATAGACATTGAAATGCTAGGCATAAGTGGCCACGCCCCCCTTTTGCCTTTTGTTACAGACAGAGCCTCCTTCTAGATACCAAATTCAGTATTTGCCAGCCTTTTTACAATAATATTGTATAACAAACCACCCCAAAACCCAGTGGCACACAACATATGCATTCCAGCAGTAGGGAATATTCCTTGAGTCGGCTCTGGTTCTGCTACCTAGGGAGAGCTCCCTGCCCACTGTTCTGCATGACTCATGGGCCCACCCTCTAAGACATCTTCCCTTTTTCCTTCCTCCTTCTCTGAAATTTCTGGAGAGATCATTGGAAAACATGTCCTTTGTTGTGGCTAGGCATTCTTCTCAGTTTGCTTCCCCCTATGGAATGCTGGAAGCCCAGGCCCTTTTATTCTCCAGTCTTGGTAACTTTTTTGTCCAGGCTAGTAATGTTTTCGCCAATACAGCTCTCTCAAGAAATGTGTGGGTTTTCTATGTATTTGACTCCACATGCCGAAAGCCATGACCACAATTCTCTTTGATGTATGTTCTCCCTCCAGCTCAATTATAAGTACTTGGGCACATCCTTAGTCTTTCTAGGAATACTTTTGTCCAGCTGAGACGATATACTTAGTATCGGCTTAATTCTTCAGTGCTCTTAATGAAGTACATCTAAGCTATGAGCACATTAAGCTTGATTTGGTTTGGGGCTATGTCTTACTGGAAGGCCCTGGATTTGGCCTTTTGGCTAAAGTGATGTAATAACAGCCTCGCCTTTGTTTTGGACGGGATGGTTTTATTTTTCTCACTACGCAATTCTGAGCTATCTAGATTGCCTCTAAATTCTGACTGCAAACCAGTAAGTTGTCTTCTGAACTCAAATCTTTTTTTTTGCAGTACCTTATCAAAAACAGCCTGTAACAAAACAGCTCATGCATTCAGTATTTTTCTTCGTAATATCCTACCGCTAACACTACAAGTTCAAATACATTTTCTGCCTTCCAGGTTATCATGAGCCCGTTTTCCCTGCCCTCAATAATAGTTACCCCACTAACTTCCCACTAATTCCCCATGCTTCATCATGAAGACATGTCATGTACTTTAGGCTTTTGTTATAGCAGGAGGCCCCTTCTGAATGTCAATGTTAGTATTTTCCAGTCGTATTCATAAGAGTGTTGCAAAAACGCCCCAAAGCATTGACACACGACAATAAGCATTTATTCTCATGCTCATGGGTCAGACTGTTGAATGAGAATCAATTGATAGATGCTGGGCTTGGCTGGGTAAGCCCGCTTCAAGCTGTGGGTCCAGAGGGCGTTGGCCTTTCTAGGTGAGTTGCGCTTAAGGTTGGACCACGAGTGTTCTTTCTGGGGCCCAGGCTGAAGGGGCAGCAGCTCACAGGATAAACACATCTCACAGTAATGGCAGAACTGCCAGAGGGCACACTCAAATTTGCAGGATGATCTCAAGCCCCCGCCTGCATACACCTGCTAACATCCTGTTGGCACTCACACGATGTGCCAGTTATCAATTTTTTGACTCCTGGGCCCAAATTCATGCTTCCATACCTGCCGTGCAATAACGGACTGGCTTCCCTACGCCTTTCTCCTTAAGCGAGCACAATGCTAAGAGCTGTCAGTAGAGGGCGCCGGAGGGATGTTGCAGGAGAAAAGGGGCTTGTCTCCCTCTCTCCTGCTACGTGTTGTTTTGTTTTGTTTCGTTTTTCGTTTTTTTGCTTTTCCTTCCCCTTGGTCTCTGCTGCAGGGTTGGTCAGTGGTGTGGGAGTGTGAGGACCCAGGCACGCACCCGGGGAATGAAGTCCCGCGGTGGACCCGATAGCCCCAGCTGGGCCGGTGACCATCACCCTTGGGCCCTCCCAACTCCGTGTGTGCACCTGCCGGCGCCGGCCATCTGGCTGGCCTCTGCCCCTCAGAAGTTTGGTACCAGGAACCTACCATACGTCAGTATGTCAAGGGAGAAAGGACACCTGAAAAAACACCAGGGTCTGGGGAAAAGAGGTGGGGAGGGCAACTGATGACATTGTATAGAATGTGGTAGCTGGGAAGCCACTCCTCTACGAGAGGCAATAAAGCAAAGCTCCAGCAGGGGGCACCCGGATTTGAACCGGGGACCTCTTGATCTGCAGTCAAATGCTCTACCCCTGAGCTATACCCCCTTGCGTGGGATGGGGTCCTCTTTACATTATTTCACCTGTGACGCCGCACCAAACATTCCATAGGGCACTGTAAGTTCTGTTCACTCCTGGTCGGCCTGTGAAACCGGCAGGTGCACCGCAACTCACTAAAGAGGGCTATGCAGCCATAACACCGCCTTTCCGATTCCCCAGAGACCCTTCGCTTGTCTCCTAGCACTTTTCCACTACAGCCACACTTGAACTGCAGGAGGCACCAGGTTTCTGTGGACCCCAGCCCCCCCCACCCTTCCTTTCTTCCCTCCTCCCTCAGCTACCCCTGCTCTGCCCCATCCTCCCCAGCCTCACCCTTGCTTGCTCTCTCGCCCGTTTTCCTTCACATCTTCCCCGGTCTCCCCAGCCCAATGCCCTCCTGAGGCAGTCTCCCAGCGGCTTGGTTGGGCACTAGAGAGGCAGGAGCCCCTGAATCCTTCCGGCAGCACAACAGAGGAAGCTAGCGAGAGGCATAAAGGCTGCTATTTGGAGACCCACAGCCCTGGCGCAAGGATCCCTGGTTTATGGTCAGAGATGGCTCTTTCTTCTGCCCCACGGGCAGCAGAGCCCAGGCCATGCATGTACCCACGCCCCCACCCCCACTCCCTCCCCACGGCCGACCCTCACTCACATAGGGAGGAGACACACCAGTCCTTCCTAAAAGGCACCAGCACAGTAACCTATGTTCTATTACATGGCATCAGAGACCAGTGAGATTCACTTTTCAGAGACCACAGAGGATACCGAGCTATGCAATGGAAAATGCGGTAAAAGAGGGGAGATTCTTGTCTCATTCCTGTGCAGCTTATTTGGATCATTACTGCGTTACGCGGTTAACATGTTTCATTTCAAAAATAGAATGTAAATTCGAAATAAGTATTCCAGTGAGAACAAAGCAACGCCCCATCCAGGATGTTTCTAACATAATCAACCTGCTATCATGTTGCTGGCTGTTTGACCGCCCTATAAAACACCATCTTTTTATTAAGGGAGGTGATTGGAAAGCTGGGCACCCTTCCCTGGGGTGGCCACGTTCCCCGGTGAGGCGAAATCCACTAGGCAGAGCTGGTTCCTAGCCTCCCTGCCCGAAGTTCTGGCCTTTGTTTCCGAGGCCATTGAATAAGCCCAGGATGGATGTGAAGATCCCACTCTTTTCCAGTTCGTGTCCTTTCACGCATGTGACAAAGATGCTGTTAATTTAACTGACATTATAAGTCAGTAACCCACAGGATCAAATCCTACTTTTGGCTGGAGGCTTTTTCAGTTATTTAGGGGTAAGAGATCAGACTCTCTGTGCTTGGCGCTGGGTAGAGGGGTTTACACATTTGACCTGCGTTTTATTTCTCTGAGTCCCAATGCCAATAGAATTAGCCACTTTAATATATATTTTCTTACTGTTTTATTTATTTTTGACAGAGAGAGAGAGCGCGAGACACACAGCATGAGTGGGGGAGGGGCAGAGAGAGAGGGAGACCCAGAATCCGCAGCAGGCTCCAGGCTCCGAGCTGTCAGCACAGAGCCCGACGCGGGGCTCGAACTCACGGACCGCGAGATCATGACCTGAGCCGAAGTCGGATGCTCAACTGACTGAGCCCCCCCCCAGGCGCCCCTAGAATTAGCCACTTTACTGTATGGTGTCCCCTGGTGTTCTTAGCACATCAAGGCCTGGCTCTCATCATGCACTTCCTTCCACGTGACACTGGCAATATTCAACTTGCCTGCTTTGTCAGTGTGTGTCAATGACTGCCGGGTCCCAATTTGTGAATAACTAGCCAGATGTTCACTGCTTTTAGCCCCAACAAGACCAGATGACCGATGTCATGTCCCCTTCACCTCCTGCACCGAACTCTGGTATCAGTTTTCGCACTGCCAGCATTCTGTCTCAAAAAAAGAAACTGATAATGGCTCAATGAAACAAACAAGGAAATGACTGGCACAATGACAAAAATCTCAGACCACTAAAGGAAACCTAGAGATCTACGCTCAGAAAATGGGCAGAATTAAAGGACAGCCGGGGCGGGGGGGGCCCCCCCCCCCGCGTCAGGATCATTTACCTCCAAACAGCATCCTGGTTAGGGGCCTGATAATGCCCCCACTGTGCACCAGCTGCAGCCATCAGCCCCACTGCCAATGCCAGAGCAGTGGCCCCCCTGGAGTAAATTCCAGACTCTTCCTGCTTGTGTGTACCTCATTCCATGTTCCAAGTCTCCATCACGTGCATGGGATCGGCTAAGCCCTGCTGGGGTTTGTGGGAGGGCAAAGTCTGGTACTTTTGCCTTTTGTAGTATAGTTACCTCCTGGTTTCCACCAGCCATGCACAGCTCTGGATCCCCCCCAAATGGAAAGGAATTTCAAACGTTGAGGGTGTAAGATAGTTACAGATACGTACCACGAGTATCATCAGCGAGACTGAATCAGTGGCAGGATGAGGAATGGAGAAAATTGTGTAGTGCTACCAGAGACTGGGGGAAGCTTTCTAGCAAGGCCTGACGTGCTGCTCCTCTCTTCCCCCCCCCCCCTTTTTTTTTTTAAATTCTAGTGTAGTTAACATACAGTGTCATGTTAGTTTCGGGTGTCCTGTGTAGTGATTCAACAACTCTATACAATACTTGGTGCTCATCAAGGTATGTGTACTCTTAATTTCTCTCTCCTCTTCTTGCTGGAAGATGCAGTTATTGGGAATGCCAACACCAAGTCTAAATAGAAACGACAGCAAGCCCTTACCATGGAATATTATTCAGTGATTAAAAAAGAAATGAGCTGTCAAGCCACAAAAAGACATGGAAGGACCTTAAGTGACTATAGCTAAGTGAAAGACGCTGACCTGAAAAGGCTATATACAGTATGCTTCCAACTGCATGACACTCTGGGAGAGGCAAAACTATGGACAGTAAAAACATAGGTGGTTGCCAGGGATTGCTGGGAGGGGAGGGATGAATAGGTATAGCAGGGGGGATTTTTTAGAACAGTGGAACTATCTTTCATGATGCTAGTGATTGTGGATACATGGCATTCTGCGTTGGTCAAAACCCATAAAACTGTAGGAGTCTTACTGTAAATTACAGGGTATTAATAACGTATCAATATGCATTCACCAATTTTAACAAATGTACCACACTAGGGCAAGGCGTGAATGACGCGGAAACTGGGGCGGGGGGGCGGGGGGGTAAGGTGAGGGGGTATAGGAGAACTCTCTGTACTTTCTGCCCAGTTTTTCTGTAAACCGGAAACTGCTCTAAGAAATAAGGTCTGCAACATACATATTTTTAATGACAGCTGGTGGGGACTCCCTGGATTGCAAATCAGAGACCACGTGATCTGTGTTCAAAGGACCCACCGAGGAGCCAGGGCGCCTTGCCCCTGCCCCGCAATCGGTATCCAGAGCTCTTAGCATAGCAAGTCGCCCCACGTCTTCCGTGGGCTCGCCTCAAGCCTGGGGGGGGGGGGTCTGCTGCATGGCGGAGGGGCCCCTTTCCTGCCAGGCCTCCCTCTGCACCTGGCAGCTTCTCAGGCCCCTGCCCAGGGCACCGGCTTTGAGAATCATACACATTTAGGTGAAAGGCCCTTTAAAAATCATCCAGCGTAGTCTTGCCCCACACGCGTCCGTCAGATCATCTAGAGCGGGTGGGGTTGGAGGAGATAGGGGGAAGGGCAGAAGGGTGCCAGGTTTTCCCGATGGGCCCTGCCCAGGCATCCCGCATCAGAGTCCCGGCTCCGAGGCCTGTGATGTCTCGCGGCTGCGGCTTCTGTGTGCGCCCCCGGCCTCCTGCCTGCTTACTCACTCGGAAGGAGCAACAGTGCCTGAGATCACCAGACATACACGTGGGCCCGAGGGTTGTGGCAAAAAGGTCTGTTTCTGGGCGGGCAATGCAATTTTCCCGCAGCAAACCACTTCCCGAAGCAGGAGATGGCCTTTCCGGCCTTTCCTCCCGCTTCCACTTCCGGTCTGCTGAGCCGTCCACAGGAAATCAGCCCAATGAAAAAGGTCGCCTAATTAATAGGTAGGGTGAAACCACTGCCGGGACCCAGGATGAGGCGGAAAGAAAACCTCCAGGGGGCACCCGGATTTGAACCGGGGACCTCTTGATCTGCAGTCAAATGCTCTACCCCTGAGCTATACCCCCACACACGATGTTGGTTTCTAACTGACGCCTTTTAACCTGTTGCAATACCCAGGTACCTTCCAGGACACTGCGACTGTCTTTCACTCAGGGGGCCTGCAGAACCTCATCGTTCAGAGTGATGCCCTGAGTGATGAAGGTTCCCCTTCATTTCCCACAGAGCTCGGTTCTTGTTTGATTTTCCTCTACGGTGCGAAAGCAGTTATCACTCAACCATCTTGTCCCTTGGTTCTAATACCGCCTTTATTGCCTTATTATAATCAGGAAAACATTCTTATTTTAAAAAGCTGTATATTCAAGTGAAAATGTATACGTAAGTAAAAGAAAGTAAAATTAAATAGATCTAACGGGCAGATCTGTATTTTAGTAGACCTCCCCCCCATCTCTCCCCAAAGTAAAAAACTCAAACTATATCTCCAATCACCACAGCCCTAAATGTACTGTTTGCATTGTTAAATGTCTATGGATTTAAAAAACATAAATATTTTCAGATTAAGCCCGGGATGGTCATAATTATCAAGGATTGTTTGAAATGTATATTTTCTAAATCATGGAGTTCCTTCCTTTACTGTGTGTGCTATTAAAAAAAAAAAAAAAAAAGTTGTAGTTGAGAATTATAATCCAAAGTAGTAAGCAATGATATGCATAACCTTTTAGCTGTGTAGACACTTGAACCATGGCATTTTGAAATTAAAACTTTTTTTTCTCCTTGGTGAGATGAGTACTTGAATAAAGTTGCCTTTATTGATATTTTATGCTATTATAAAATAAATATTTTTTACAGATGAAGAAAAACAACCTCCAACCTAGAATTCTGAACCCAGGTAAACTAATATTTAAGCACGAGGGCAAAGGAAGGGCTTGTCAGTTGGGCAAGACCTGAGCGTGTGTATTAGAGCAGAACCCCACCATCCACAGCGGACAGAGAAAGGAGATAAGCCCCGGGGAGAAACAGGGACATGAAAAGTCCGTGGGTGACCCTCCAGTGGTACCTGCAGCCTCCTCCCAGAGCCAGCATCTCACACCTGATACCCTCATGCAGAGAACTAACAGGCTTCTCACACCAAACACAGAGGGAAGCGAATGATGAGTTCTCACTCCTAACCAGCTCCCTGCTCCATCTGTGGTTCCCACCTAAGTGCAAGGAGTTCCCCCAGCAACCAGGGCCAAACACCTGCCAGCCACTGTTGGGTCGCCTCTTTCTTTTGCCTCCAAAGCCGGCAGTCAGACCTGTGGGCTCCGCTGTCAGATGTGTCTGCATCTGAGCGGTTCTCTTGGCCCCCCCACCGGGACCTGCGGTCAAGGCCCAGGGTCCAGCTCCCACCTAGCCCGTCCTGATACTCTCCTCACAGGTCTCCCCCTTCTGTTCTTCCCCTCCTCCTATTTCCACCCAGATGATTGTTTCAAACATGAGTGGGACCACATTTCCTGCTCTGCTCAGTAGCTTACCACCCTCCTTAGAACAAAATCCAAGGGCATGCTATAGCCTATGGAACCCGGGGTTCTAAACCCAAAGTCAGGAAGAGTGGATCCAGGTTCTGATCCTATTAATAAAGGGCTTTCTGTGGTAGAAAGACTAGTAATCTTGAATCTCTGTAATCAGATGCCCACTGTGAATGGCATAGAGACTAGCGACTCTGGGGCCCCTTCCAGCTATAAATGTCGGTGTCCGTGCTTTTCCAGAAAAAGCAGGGAGGTAGCTATAGGGAGGGGAAACTGTTGCTTGTTTTGCATCAGAGAGATAAAATTGTAATGAGGAAGGCTTGGCAGCTTCCAGAAGGCCCAGCCAATGAATGTTTGTAGTGAAAATTTATAGGGATGCTGGGTGTGGCTACACAGGTAAAAGGTATTACTTAGGCCACAGCCTACATCAGGGGGTATAGCTCAGGGGTAGAGCATTTGACTGCAGATCAAGAGGTCCCTGGTTCAAATCCAGGTGCCCCCTGCCGGCCCTCACTTTTGTTCATTGAAGCTATTAAAGATTCAGCTCCTTTCCCTAATAGGGAGCCTCAGGATACTAAGACTTTCCAAATCTGGAGAAAAAAAAAGTCAGGGATAACTTAAAGCTTTGTCACCAAGCACCACAAGCCCCAGAGTGATAGATTCCTCCAACTCTGACTTCATGTTTCACTTACCATGGGTCTTTTTCCGTACAGGCTTAGGATTATTTTGTCTACATGTTTTCATTGTTCCAGTCTATGGTATGCTGGTAAATATTTAACAACCAGCTCTTGGGGGAAGAGCATGGCTGATTTTTAGTGTTTTCCAGTTTCACGGTATAAATAATCTCACCATTGCCAATTTCAAGCTACAAACGTAAGATCACTGAACATGGAATTGGGAAGGTGTGCTAACAAGTGGCTCTCTGGAGCAAGATCGGCTCTAGCACACCACTGTCCTTAATCTGTCTTCCCCAAAGAGGCAGCGATGGACTCTTTGACCTCTACTCTATCCTCACGATGCTGACTGACATCAGAGCAGTGGCTGATATCCATCTGATCGTCCATGGAATCATCCATTCGCTCAAGACATATTTGATTCCTACTCGAGGCCGGACACAGGGAAGACAGAGCTGAGCAAGAACCATCTGTGGTGAGTAGAACAGCCACATGAAGAAACGGTCAAGTGAATAACAAGAATAAGCTAAACAGAGGAGAGGGTTATTTTATTTTATTTTGTATTTTTTTGAAGAGAGTGCTGTTTTAACATAAAACGATTTCTGATACCAGAAATATGCTAGATTAGATCATCTAAAATTCCTCCTAACTCAAAGCACCCAGAAATGCAAGATAAAATATAGCAAATATCCTTTCGTAAGTATAACTGAGCTGTCATGACAATAAAGGGTGTCTTGGGGGTGGGTGGGGGGATGAACTAAAGTTCTGACCCCAAGAATGCCCATGGCTGTGGTGAGACGGCCTAGGTGTTGAGTTTTAACAGCCATGTGGATCCAGAAGGTTAGGTCTAGACTTGGAATCCCCTCCCCCATGTAAAGTCAGACTCTCAGAGTCGCACCATTAGTAAAAGGGCGGGCTAGTAAAACGCCAGCACAAGTAGACAAGAGGTCCTTGTCTTTTCAGGGGAGAGGGGGTAATTCCCCTGAAAATTCATAACTACAAAGCTATTCTTGTTAGAACTTTGAATTTACACTGCCTGCAGGGTTGAGAAATTCCCCAAGCTAAAAGTTAACAGAAAAAATGTGCCCAGGCTAACACTGATTGTGGGGTACCCAGAAGAAGCAAACACAAACTCTGAAGGGCACATAAGCAAACCAGGCCCCACAGAATTCCCACGGATGAAACCTGGCTTCAAACGGGTTCACAACTCAAAATAATAAAACATATGAGGATCAGCCAACCATGAGTGAAAGCCATCAGACAAAATAAAGGATGTCAGATAAGAGAATTATCATATAGATACTATGAAGTAAGTATGGTTAAAATTATTATTATTTTTTTAAATGTTTATTTATTTTTGAGAGAGAGCAAGCGAGCAGGGAAGAGTCAGAGAGAGACAGAGACACAGAATCTGAAGCAGGCTCCAGGCTCTGAGCTGTCAGCCCAGAGCCCGACACAGGGCTCAAACCCATGAACAGTGAGATCATGACCTGAGCCGAAGTCGGACACCCAACCCAGATGCCTCAGTATGGTTAAAATTATTAAAGACATAGGAAATTGAATATATAGGAATATGTGACTTTTAAAAAGATGAAGCAGACTCATATAAAATGAAAAATACAGGGGCGCCTGGGTGGCTCAGTTTGTTAAGCATCCGACTTCAGCTCAGGTCAAGATCTCATGGTTTGTGGGTTCAAGCCCCACATTGAGCTCTGTGCTGACAGCTCAAAGCCCAGAGCCTGCTTCAGATTCTATGTCTCCTCTCTCTCTCTCTCTGCCCCTCCCCTGCTTGTGTTCTCTCTCAAAAATAAATAAACATTAAAAAAATTAAAATAAATAAATAAAATGAAAAATACAATAACTGAAATTAATAGTATAATAGTGGATTAGATAGAAGAGAGATTTGTGAGTGAAATAGAATATAAATCTTAAAAAACTACCAAGAGTGAAGCACAAAGTTCTAAAAAAATGCAAAACAAAAAAGAGTGGTTAAGAGAGGTGCAGAATAAAGACAAATGTCAAATATGAATTCTGCAAGTATAAATTATAAGGAGGAAGAGCAATATTAAATAATACGATAGCTGAGAAATTTCCAGACTTGTACAAAGACCTCAGATTTAGGAATGAGTTCTGAAAAAGATAAATTCACACCCAGGCACATTGCAGTGAAACTTCATAATACCATAGACAAAGGGATGATCTTAAAAGTGGCCAAAGAGAAAAGACAAATCATGTACAAAGGAATAATAATTAGAATGACAGCAGACTTTTCAACGGAAACAATGATGGTTGAAAACAATGGAATGAAATCTTACACGTCAAAGACTATAAGTTATAATTCTCTACTCAGCTCAGCTATCATTCAGGCGTGGAAGAAATATAACTGAAGGCTTTTAGTTCTAAGATTTCCTTGCTGAAAGAACTTTAAAACTTGTAATTCAGAAAGAAGAACACTGAACCCAGAAGGAAGGAAAAAGGCAAAATAAAAAATAGTGAACAAAGATACCAGTGAGCACACTGGTAAATCTAAATAGCACAGATTAAACAAGACGAAAAATGAATTGGGGGGTGCTTAAAAATAAGACTGAACTAAAGAGAACAATTATACAGAAGACCAGGGCAATGATGGGATTGAATTAATATATTAAGGTCCTTCCATTGTGTGAAAGGAGGGTGGAAATGCTAATTGATGTGAGACTGTATCAGATCAGGTGGTGTGTGTGTAAAAATTTAGAGTAACCCCTAAAAGTATAGAAAAAGAAGACTAGGGGCGCCTGGGTGGCGCAGTCGGTTAAGCGTCCGACTTCAGCCAGGTCACGATCTCGCGGTCCGTGAGTTCGAGCCCCGCGTCGGGCTCTGGGCTGATGGCTCAGAGCCTGGAGCCTGTTTCCGATTCTGTGTCTCCCTCTCTCTCTGCCCCTCCCCCGTTCATGCTCTGTCTCTCTCTGTTCCAAAAATAAATAAACGTTGAAAAAAAAAATTTTTTTTAAATAAAAAAAAATTAAAAAAAAAAGAAAAAGAAGACTAAATTAGATAAATTTCAAATTAATAGAAAGAGGTGAATCAAGGTGAATTCGTCAAAGGTGAATAAAGAAAAAGTGATCAATCCAATAGAAGAATGGAAAGAAAGGCATAGAAAAAAATCAGAATAAATAGCAGAAAATAAGATGGTAGAAATGAATCAAAATATATTACTAATCACAATAAATGCAAATGGACTACCTGCCAGTTAAGATAGAGGTTGTCATTATGGATTCAACAACAAACTCTAGCTACATGCTCTTATAAGACACCACCTGAAACATAAATATACAGAAAGCTTGAAAGTAAAAGGATGGGAAAATATATATCAAACAAATACTATCCAGAATAAAGTTAGTTTTGCTATATCATTATCAAATGAAATGAATTATAGATTAAAAGTACTATTACGGCAAAGAGTATTACCTCATAATAATAAAATGGACTGTCCCAGGAAAACACAATTCTATACTATATACACAGT